GCTCGTGAAGGTTTACAGTACATCTTTAAGACTCAAAATGCTTACACTTTTGCTGTCAGTGGTACAGGTTTGCGTTAAAAGCCTCTTTAATGTAATTTCGCCATTACATGCTGTATTATAACCTTCTCATTTTTTTAGGACACGCAGGAATGGAATGCGCTGTCTTGAACCTACTGGAAAAGGATGATATCTTCTTGGTGGTTGAAATTGGCATCTGGGGGAGAAGAGCTGCTGATTTGGGTGCCAGAATAGGGGCAAAGGTAGAAACAGTTACAGCTCCTCACGGATGCGCTGTCGAGAAGGAGGCAATTGAGCAGGTAAACTCAACAAAATTTAAGAATATTGCTACAATTAGCAGTTTCCTAATCTAGAAGTTCAGATGGTATGCGTGAGTGATCAGATAAGTAACAAAATAATGATAAATACACAATTATTTATACAAATAAAGGATTCAGGCTTTGGCCAAATACAAACCTGCTGTTCTGTTCGTTTGTCACGGCGAAAGCTCTACCGGGGTTTGTCAACCGCTTGAAGGTCTTGGAGAAGCCTGCCGTCGACATGGGACACTTCTGCTTGTGGATACGGTAAAATTTTCCCACTATGACGAAAATCGTAACAAGGTTTTGTTTCCAATTTTAAGGTTGCGTCATTAGGTGGGGCAGAATTCCATATGGACGAGTGGGGTGTAGACTGTGTCTATTCGGCAACTCAAAAAGTCTTGAATGCGCCTCCTGGTTTGGCACCCATTTCATTCAGTGAGAGAGCTATGTGAGAATTTGCTTGGAATTGCAATTACTGAGTGCACATTTCGTAAATTTGGAAATTTTAGGCAAAAAATCAAAAATAGAAAAGAGCGCGTTCCATCGTTCTACTTTGATGCTCTTGAATTAGGTAACTATTGGGGCTGCGACGACCAAGTAATCAGGTATATCTTCTTTCGTATTGTTTTCAATATTAAGAACTCTTATAAATACCTCTTTATAGATATCATCATACCGCGCCAATATCATGCGTCTACGCTCTTCGGACTGCTTTAGCAGTCATAGCAAAAGAAGGCATTGACGAAGGAGTGCGCCGACATGTAGAAAATGCGAAATTTTTGTACAAAAAATTGGAAGAGTACGGATTAGA